TCCACTCCTGGGTTCAGGTCACACGTGGCTTCTTAGAAACACTTCTCGTGGTGGGAGCTTCCACAGAACAGACAGGAAGGAGGGCGGAGCTTCCCGACGGTGCACCGCTCGGGTTCCGACCACCAGCCAAGTTTCCTTGATCTTTGCAAACAATTTGAAAGCCGCCTGCAGGCCCACAGATGGGGGGCCAGATTGTCAGGGAGCCTACCAGACACCATTATTTCCCCTCAGTTTTGCTCATTCTGCGACAGAACAGTGGCTGGGCCAACGGAGGACAGCCTGGCTCTCGGGTCAGAGCACGCAGCAGCCACGGGGTGGGGATGGTAGGGGATGCAGTGGGGTGGGGGGCCGAGAGCGGGGGAAGGGAGGCAAGAGCCGCCAGGACGGTCCAAGTACTTTAGAAGTTGGGTGGCCCTGTCTTTTCCCTCCTAATTCCTAATGGGTATGTTTACCTGACCTAACTTTAAAAAAAAAAAAAGCTGAAACAGTGGGCCCCCAGACACGTGCTTTGCTGGGGTCAGTTTTATTGCAGGCAATTTGCTGTCACCGTGGGTTTTGTGTTAAGAGTTGAAGTCCATGGGCAGGCCCACCTCCAGCCTGGGGTCCGGGCTCGGAGCTGCCCCCCGCGCCCCTGCAGCTGGTCCCGCAGCGCCTCACCCATCTTGCAGTGCAAGGGAGAGGCGGTGCTTTGATCTCTCACTCACTCAGCTGTGATCGCAGATTTCCCCTCCAAGAGCCCAACCGATTGTGGGGGAGCCATTCAGAACCAGGAGCTAACGCTGCACGTGCTTGTGCTGTGGCAGCGGGAGAAGTTCCCAGGAGACCATGCGACGGGTCCGACGCCAGCCTCATGGAGAGGGCGAGTGTGTGGAGCATTTGAGGACAGGATCGAAGATGGGGCGCAGAGGCAAGGCTGCTTGTGTCACCCCGAGAAGAAGGAAGCTGGACCTTTTACTTTCAGGCCATTCGTGTCTTGCTTTGCCCCTTCAGGCGGGGTCTGGGGTGTGGGGAGGAGCAGGAGCAACATTCCAACCAGGGGAGCTGGTTAGAGACGCCCCGGGGTTGTGATGGGGCGCCCTCCGCCCAGCACACGGCACCCTCCAGGCTCCCAGAGGAAGCAGGTGTGCAGCTCAACGAACAGTGAGGCTTGTGAGCCGCGAATGGGGGAGCCCTTCTGCGATCCAGGTTCCCAGACCCCGTCAGCCTGTGAGCAGGCCCGGCCGCCGGGTGACCCTTTTGCAGGTACAAGCGCTGTCGTTTCCTTTCATGGCCTGTCCCCCAGCTCAGGACACTCCCCGCCCAAACTCCCGTGGACGGCTGCTTAGGAAACCACCCAGGACCCAGCAGCTCAGCCAGCTAACACTGGCCACGCCGGGACTTACGCTCAGGGCTCCACATCCGTTATCTCGTTGAACACTGGCCAGCTCTCATCTTCCTCATGTTTTTATTGATTTCAGAGAGGAAGGGAGAGGGAGGGAGAGAGACATACATCAATGATGAGAAGGAATCATGGATCGGCTGCCTCCTGCACGCCCCACACTGGGGATGGAGCCCACAACCCAGGCCTGTGCCCTGACGGGAAATCGAACCCTGACCTCCTGGTTCATAGGTCGATGCTCAACCCCTGAGCCACGCCAGCCAGGCGACCAGTCTTCTTTAGGGCTAGCATTTTTGGCTCAATAGAACCTTTAAGAGTTTCACCCTGGAAGTTCAAAGTTTTGTTTAACAGAAGCAATTCCGAGAAGCCAGCGTGGGCCCACAGGAAGCTGTCAGCACCTGTGGGTGGCGGGGCCACGGTGGGAGGCCGCGGTGGGAGCCCGGGGTGTGCACACGTGGGAGGCGGGGGCTCTGGATGGAGCCAGAGCCACAGCCAGAAACTCCACTCAAAACAGAGCAGGAGGGATGGCTCTGCGTCTTCTTCCCTGCACCCTCTGGTCTTGCAAGAGTTGCCAAGTGGCCAGGCTCCCCCCCACACACCCACCCTCACCCCCAAAACAGTTCCCAGGGCAGCCTGGGAAGAGTGGGAAAGGGCGAGGATTTGGTGTGTGTGCCAACACAGCAGCCCAAGTGGGCGACAGGGCAGAAACGGAGAGGCAGCCTAGGGGAGGGAGGGAGCAGGCGGTTTCTGGGTGCGGTGAGTGTGAGGGGCCCCTGGGGCCTCCAGGGGAGTTGTCCGGGAGGCCCTGTCTGGACCCAAAGAGGGGGAGAGAGGGCTGCGGCTGCCTCTGCACAGTGGAGTCTGCCAGCCGGCAGACCTGCCGTGGTGGGAGCAATGGATGTGCTCATTCGGTCAGGGCTCCTGTTACTTACAAGAAACACTCAAATTCATTTCCAAATCGGTTGCTTTGCGTTAGGTCTATAGGCTCCCCATTCCCTCCAGCATCTAGTCTTTATTCCAGCTGTTCTGGGGGCGTGAAATGTGCCTCCCGGTGGTCGGTGGTCGTCGCTTGCATTGTTCGGCTGACCTCTGAGGTCGAGCACCCTCGGAAGGGGTTTGATGTGAGTCCGGTGAACATACCTCCAGAAGGTTCTACCCTGAAGGCCTCAGGAGGTTAGGTGAAGGGGGAGCAGAACTGGAGTGTGGGTGGCCCCAGGCCCCTCCCAGCATCAAGGGCTCAGATTACATTCCGACGCAGTGAGCAGGACTCAGGCTATTTCTTTGTCATCTCATAAGGATTTCTGGGTCACCCAAAGGTGTGAGCTTGGAGAGCCTAACAAATACCTGGGTTTCGACCCTCGGGGCCTCCCCGCTTGCTTGCTGGGAGCCTGCGCACGCAGGCTTTTCCGTCTGTAAGACGGGAACCCTATCTGTTTGTGGGTTGCCCCGAGGATTAAAGCAGACAATGTTGGCCAAGTGGCCAGCTCGGTATTTGGCACGTGTGAGCTCAGCAACGGAAGTAAACGTCGTTGGTTTTGTTACTGGAAGGATTAAAGAGAAGCTGGCGAACATCTTTATTTCAGACGAGAGGCCCAGTGCACGAAATTCATGCACAGGTAGGGCCCCTGGAGGCTGCTGGCCGCGCGTCATCGCGAGCTGTGGGTCTCAAGCTCCGGACAGTCGAACTCCCGCCCCAGGGGACAATTTGCCTATTAGCCTTTTATTATACAGGATAAGGAAACTGAGGGTCAGTTAGTTAAGAGAAGTGTCCCCAAACCCCTGCTATTTAGAGACAGCGCTGGAATAAACTCCTCGTTCCCCTGCCAGCTGCCCCGCCGCACCTGGCCCCCTTGTGATCACTCGCATGTGCTGTATCAGGCCCGGCGTAGCGAGAAGTGGTTTTGAATCATTCTTAGGGCCCAGGGCAGCCTAACGCGGGAACAAGTCTCAATCTGCAGCTTGGTAGAGAATTCTCCGGTAAGGAACAGGCTCCTATGTTTGTTTTTCATCTGCTTTAAAAGACAGACAGACAACTCAGCAACTCCACGTGTTAACTACGGGGTGAACTTTGTTCCAGTTACACCCCACTTCCCTGCCCTGGAACTGGCAGGGGGGCCTGAGACAAGACACAGCAGATAGGGCTGCGTGGGCAGGTTTTGCCTTTGGGGAAAACCCTTTATTCGCACCCTTTGCGGAATGTGAGCACACCACCAGAGGTCAGGCTAGGAACGGCTTCTCCACCAGCCGGAGCCACGGAGCTGCTTCAAGGGAAAAGGATGGTAAATAAATAGACAAACAAATAAAACAATAAGTAAAATAAATAAACAATAAATAAATAAAGCAGCCTGGTGGTGTGGCTCGGTGGTTGAGCATGGACCCATGAACCCAGCGGTCTCGGGTTCAATTCCCGGACCTGCCCGGGTTTGGGGCTCCATCCCCAGTAGGGGGCGCCTCCCTCATCGCCGTTTCTCTGTCTTCATCCCTCTCCCTTCCTCTCTAAAAATGTAAAGCATATATTTAAAAAAGTATTGCAAAAGCAGTGCATATTTGCAAACATTCCACCAAAGCCTTGACGAAGTCTTCACGGGATGATGCCTTTGGAGGGAGGGGTCGGGGAGATGCGCAGGGCTCGCC